ATGTGTTGCGTATGTCTGAACACCGATCACCACGACGCGCATTACTGACTAGTGTTGGGGATGGTTAGTAGAAAGTTAGGGGCGGCCAAACCAAAACGTGACATCAGTGCTTGAATTCACTAATTTCTAGTCTGAGCCATGTTGGTAGATGTAGACTACTTGGTTGGGGTCCACGTGACTATCGTAACCAATGTTTGGAGACTGTGTGACATGGCTCAGAATCGATAACAGTGGGGTCGGTGTACACATTCGCTGTCTTCCCTTAAACCATGAGATTAAAATTACTTTATACCTTTCTAATTCTTTTTTCCTATACTATATCCTTATATGCAATCTTTCTTTTACATATTACCACCATTGAACTAACTACTTCTATGAATCCGGTGTTCATCTTGTTGTGCTAATGAGGTATGGCAACTTGGACCGATGCATATATGTGCTTAGTCGTACATATTGATATTAGTTATATTCCAACCTAGGAAGTTTACATCTATGCACACATCTTTGTTCAACAAACAATTATATCATGAATTAATGACATAATAAAACAATGAATTTATCAAATCTAATTTGAGTGATATTATTGTTAAAAGGATTATAATATTAAATATCTTATATCTAGATTAAGCATATGCATTTTATTGAAATACTGAATCTGCTGAATTATTTCAGATATTTACACTCAATTAGTTGTTTACTATTCACACTACTACTACTACTACTACTACTACTACTACTAGTAGTAGTAGTAGTAGTAGTAGTAGTACTATTACCACCACCACGACCATCACTACTACTACTACTATTATTACTATATATTGTTCCTCTCTTTCTGAACTGATTATCAAGTGAAATTTTTCGAAAAAACATCAAAAAATTCATATACATGAAATTAGAATATATCAAACAATCTTAATCCAGTTAATCCAGTTTACCACAACAAAACATGTTACTTTGCCCTTCAGTAGAATAGAATTTAAAACACTTTTTTTCTGTGATTGATTAAAAATATCTCTATTTATCGGTTATTATTCCAGAAAAAAAAATTTTTTTTTTGGTTAAGTCCCAAATGTTTGTTGCTTAACAATTATTGACATAACACCATTGAAACATTGAACTGTGCAATTAGTTTACTTTTTTTTTTTAAAAAAATCATGCTTTTTTCATCGACCCCCCATTAAATCAGCTATTTTTTTTTTTAAACAAAAAGTATATATTTTGGAAACATTTCTCATAGTGTTACACAATTGTTTCATTGAATTTTGTATGAAACAATTCTTCTGTAGCGTTTCTAATAATTACAGTCCTTATTTCATAGAGAAAAATATAAAACGCGTTCATTAAAATTGAATAGAACTGATATGTTTTCTTTGTAAAAATGTTTAAAATAGTTGATTTTACAGTTATTTCTAAAAAAAATTTTTTTTTAAAAATATCTTAACAGTAATGCATAACTTCATGTGCATTACCAAAATGTATGTGTCTGTTCGTGTGTGTGTGTGTGTGTGTGAAAGAGAGGGAGTGTGTGCAGGAGAGAGAGAGAGAAAGAGATAAAGGGGAAGGAGACAATTTTATAAAAATAAATTTCATGCAGTTCATAGTCCATAAGATATTATTAGTAATATTATTGTTACTATGATTCAAAATCTTTTACTCGCAGTTTCTGTGTCTTTCTCTCTATCTTTGCAGATATAACTGTGTGTGTGTGTATGTTTAAGTCAATGAACACATTTTGTTCGCTTCTGTGATACATAATAAGAGAGATATCATTAGAAAACGATTCATATATCGATTTACAATGAATATAAAGTTATAATACACTTATTACAACAGTTCTCTTTAATTAGAATCAGGGATATGTAGTTTCTTATTGGAACAGTTTTTGAATACTTCTAAAATTCAAACACAATAATAAATTATTTTACATACACACACACATACACCCTTTGATTTGAATGATTTTATCGAAATCAATAATGTAATTCAAGTGTTTTCTCTTAACTAAAAGTCAACACTGTAGTTGCGAATATTTGTGTTCAAAGTCGTTATATCAACTGGCAAATAATAGAAATACGAATCGCTTATTTCTAGTTAAATAGTTTACAAAATATAACCTGACACTGACACTTAATAATCCAAGATGAGAGTTTCTATATAAAGATGACTTCCTAGTTGATATCAGTCAGTCTATGACATAACCTGTGTTATATATCTAATATTCCCAATATAATTCTAGTTATTTATTCGTATTGTTGTTCTTGTAAATAGAAACTATATTTCTTTATTGTAATTGAAATACCAATATAAGACAATTCATATCTGCTTTTCATATCGGTTCATTGGAACTTTATATCAACTTAAGTGATTTTATCTATCAGTTGGTTACAATTTTATACAGTTTCTCCTCGTTAGTTGTTATATCATATTTCATCTTTCTGTTGTGTGATATACATTTTAATGACTAAAATAAAACTATTTCAAAAGCATTGTAAACATTATTGTCGCCATCGGTTTCGTTTCCATCACAAATTTAATGTTTAGGAAAAAAAAATGGGTAGCACAATTTTTGAAATTGTCATCTTGTTGTAGACATTCATGGGTATATAAGTAAATTTTTACTAGTATTATTGACATTTGTATACCCTCAATCACTCACTCACTCACTCACTCTCAAACACACACATATATATACATGCAAATATTTAGTGTTTGTGTGCGTGTTTGTGTACACAAATGATGATATATATATATATATATATATATAACACTGAAATTTGTTAATATAAACTAAGTTAGTTCAATTATTAACGAGAAAATCTTTTTTGTTGTTGTTTAAAAATGAACATAAATAAATTTATGTTCATTTTCTCATCATACTTCTATGAATGTCATCTAATTTCACTGAAATACATGTATACAGTTACAAAATATACAGTACAATGTAGTACAATACAGTACAGTACAGTACAGTACAGTACAGTATAGTGCAGTACAGTACATTTTATAATAAATTAAAATTTCTGATTACATAATTAATAATTATGAAGTATATTATTGTAAATTACATTTTCAATGTACACACACCTTTCGAGGACAAAGAAAAGATTATGAATTATCTGAGTATACTAAACTTGTTTACACATCTATGAATATATCTACATAGAGAGAATAAGAGGGAGAGAGAGAGAGAAAGAGGGGGGAGAGTAAATAAAAGTCAAATGAAATCATATTTAAATATCCTGTATTGTTGATAACTATAATTATTAACTGTTTATTGAAAATTGACAGTTTTAATGGATATGAAACTAAATAACAGTATTGTACATGAACTAACGTTATAAAACTGAGTATTTTTTGTTTTACAAAATTTATATTTAACTGAGTAATTCTGGTAAATTTTAATAATTTATCCATGAATTGTATAAATATATGAATAGGTTCATGTTTATTAGTTACTGTGCGTGTGCGTGTGTGTGTGTGTGAAGATGAAACACATGAACTATGTGTACTGTATATACATAGATAATTTAGTTCCTTTTATAATAGTAAAATTGTCAATTGGATATATATATATATATATCAATCAAATAGTTTTTCATTAGGTCATTTAAGATGAAGCAATTCTGAATGACAGTAACAGAATAAATAAATAAAACAAATTTTATATTTAAAATAATGAAAATTGGATTACATTTAACAATTTAATATTCCATAGAATTGGTTTATATAAGGAAATGATAAAATGCTCAATTTCCCAATATTCTTATGCTTCTTATTATATCACTTTAGCATAAACAAATAGCTTTGAATAAATATGACCGAATCAAGTCAGTGGTATTTTATATTCATTCATTTATTTATTTATTTATTTGAACGCATAAATATTGGTACAAAGAGGCACCGAATACAAATGCACCACAAAAGTGACTTGAGTTTTGTGTGGGCTGTCATATTGCCCAGGTGCCTAGACTGAAGTAGCTGGTTCTCTTATGGTGCTACACCCGGAGCCTTCGACCTAAAGATCTGATCCACAAGACAGTGGAGATGTGGGCACATGGTGGCCGATGATCAACAATTGGTTCATACGCAATTTGTTTGCTCAGGATCCTGAACCCCATGTTCACCATTGGTTGGAAACCGGGTTTTTCAACTACACTAGTTGGATCCTCCATATGCACCAATCCGGTTAAATTGTCGGACATTCAGTTTTTATCCTTGATCTCGTTAACAATACCCCTGCCACAAGAACGCAGTGAGTAGAACTTTCCTGTTTGTGGTTGTATACGGGTGGACATGTTCTGTTGTTATGGAATTTGATTTTGTTAGTGTTTATATTTGTGTTTGAGCACAATAACACCTAAAAATTCTGTTTAATATTCGGTCTCTGTGACAGAAGACGTGTGCTGAATCTTGAGTTTCAAAATTATTTTGTCTTTTTGAATTGTATTCTATATTTTATAGTTTGCATCATGAATCGAACTCCAGTTAAACACCCACTAAAAAACCAGGAAGAACTGAATACCCTTCCCATCCTAGTGTAGAACTCCTCAGTAGTGTTCACTCATGAACCGAAGGACTTCAGGTTTCCTAGCGGGCTCTTAGTCCTTAGATCTTTAATTTTAATTGTTTGATTTCTTGTATCAATATTATTGTTGTTACAATTGTTATTTGGGTGCCTTGAATTTTCATCTTCTGAAAAGCGTGATAAACTTTAATTGTTGCAAAATTATTCGACATTCTACAATGTTTATTACTAACTAGCTTGATAGACATTTTAACTACAATAGTGTTATCACTCCATATTTGCTTATATCTCTTTGAAAGAGTAAGAAGGAAAGGGGTAGTTCAAAAAGTACTTTAATAGGCTAACTAAGTTCACTAGTTCACTTGTGACAAAGCGGCACTATATTATTTATCTTTTCATATTTCTCGAAGTACAGGCTTTTAAAAATATTTATTACCAAAAGTATTACGGTTGCTTTGTTTTTCTTCTCTTTCAGTTTGGAAAATAATCCTATGCAAGTAAGTTACATGATAAATATTTACTTTGTGTATGTAATGGCTTTGTGGAGAATATTACTTGACTGTAGTTGTGATCAATCATGATCCAAGAGAGAATCAAATTCAAGGATCCAAAGTCGCATTAGTTACTAACCTCAAGATTTCCAAGCGATCTAGTCAGAAGCCATGACTAATGGAATTGAAATATGTAGGATATGAAACAATGATTCGCCACAGGGAATGAGAGATAGTTGTGAAAGATAGCGAATTTATTCATGTATTAGGCATTATTCTACTCTCTACATATTGTGATTTAGTTAGTTGAACAGTATCGTACTATCTCTTACATCTAAGGGTTCTGTAAACTAGGTAACTTTCTTTGGAAGTTATTCATTTTTGTTATTCAAAACAAAATTTATTTACAGAGTATGCATTCATAATGTTCAGTAAGATAATGAAAACCTTATGAGTGAAGTTATTCAGCTTAGAATATTAAACAACGCCACTAGAAACATTCATTGGAAATATAAATTCTGTGCTTCATTTTTTTCGTATATTATTGTATTCTGTGAAATATCCATGACATATCTGATAAGTTTACAACGGAAATGAAGTTTTCTTTTAATATACTGCTGTATTTTCATAAGCAGAATGGTAGCTATCAATGAAATCCAGAATGAGCACCTTATTCCATTTGGGACTCGTCAGCTGGATGTATCATAAGAGACTGATCGATCGCAATCCTAAACATTAATGGAAAGATTCAAACAACCAATAAAAAAGAAATTCATTACATTCTCATTTAAATTATTATTTTTGTATCCGTTCAATTTAACCATTATATTCGTCAATGAACGGCCTCACTTGTGAGTACACATCATTGACGAGTCATATACTAGAATGAAATAAATATTCAATGGCTTATGTTTTTCAGTGATATATAAATTGGGACCAGTCTTTAAGTCTATGATAATTAGATGTATTTGAATTATCGTACAAAGTAGGACTTCCCGACATAAGGCGTATTGTATTTAGAATTGCAGATCAGGCAGTCCTCAAATATAAAAGAATCATTATTTCACACAACCACCACATAATCTCAACTATATAGCCTGTTTTTGTAATCAATTTCGCTCAGATCAAGTTATTAACTTCATAGATCGATGCCACTTTGTAAATACAAACCAAGATTATGTATCAATTATTTCCCAATTTTCTTCTCTCTTCCTAATAAACAGACTTTCGAAAATACTACTTCACCTTATTTTATCAATTCAAAGCCAATAGATCGATTGATGGCCAACACATCCGGTATATATGTGAATAAGAGTCATTATAATGAAAGTAAGTCCTCCTTTGAATGATTCTTATCTGAAATGATTTCGAAATATATTCATAGTTTGACTAAGATCAGTTGAGTTGTGTACAGTTTAATTGACGTATTTTTAATGTTCGATAAATGTACTGTACCTAACATTTTCAGTCATTGTTCATCTCGAAATTATCTCACATGGCCACATGCATACAACCACTAACCAGGAAGTCCTACCCAATACCCTCGCGTACCACGGGTGTTGTTTACGAAATTGAGAGGACGAAAACCAGCGCTTTAACCGGTTTGGTGGACACGGAGAGTGCTGACTTTGCTCCACTGCCATGTGGATAGACCTTTAGGTTGAAGGCTCCCTGGCGTGGCCTCTTAAGAAAGCCAACTGCTTCGATCTCGACACTCGGGCAGTATCACTGCTCCCACACAAATGAAGTGACTTGTGTGGTGCATATGTATTCGATGTCACTTTGTACCAATATTTATGTGTTCAAATAAATAATAAAGACATTTTTCTATTCATTCAATGATGAACTGTTGTATATTCGAGTGTAATTTCAAGAGAATAAGGTTATTTGCAATTGTCTGTTATGAACAGGTTGTTACTTAAAATGAAATATTCCATGTAAACTACACTCTAATACACAATATTCATTTGTGTAAAGAAAAGATAAGAAAATCACCGAAATTGTACGACAATGTAATTTGAAAACATTTTAGATAACTTTGATCAGTTTACAAATCAATAAGATTCAAACGCTGTCACTGTTAAACTTCGGTCTATTTATGATTGTAATGTCATTACAATCACAATCGAAAGTGATCTATGGGAATTGTCGACGTACTCGTGTCGACCGTAACTGGTGTGACCCACTAGCTTATGTTTAAGTCAAACATCACATGTTAATACCTAACCTGGCTTATCCCATCTTGATCACAAGATTATTCAATTTCGTTTATCCCCTCGTTACTATATGGTTTACTGAGTATTCATCAGTTTGTTAAGAACAGCTTTCTTAAATGCAACTAAGTTATTTAGACGTCTTTTTTCAAATTAAAAAAAGCAACATTGTAATTAAATCTCTATCGCCTAGATGTGTAACTTGTGTACTAGAATGATTCACTCCACTGAACTGATCATTACCATTTTTATTATATCGATAAAACTGAATACCACACAAAATAATGAGATAACAATGGGGGAAAACAGACAATGATAGACAGAGTATAATCAGACAGAAAAAAATTAGGTAGTAGGAGACACTGTTCAGTTAGCAATACAACCAACAGAGATTTCTTTTTGTTAAGAGAGCTCCATTGATTTGAGTGAAGTCACAGTTTATTTATTTATTTGAACACATAAATATTGGTACAAAGGGGCATTAAAAACATATTCGCCACACAAGTCATTTGATTTGTGTGTGGGCTGTGATACTACCCGGGTGTCCAGATAGAAACATGTGGTTCTTTTTGGAGGCCACACCCGGAGCTTTCGACTTCAAGGTTTGGTCCAAAAGGCAGTGGAACAATGTTAAGAGATGCAACCACATGGTAGCAGGTGACCAATAATTGGTTCATACGCCATTTGTTCCTTTAAGATCCTGGAGCCCATGTGCACGACTGATTTTGAATCACGGGTCTTTAACCCCTCTAGGTGGACTCTCCGTGTCCACCAAGCCAGTTAAAGTGTCTGACATTCAGTTCTCGTTCTCTCAACTACGTAAACAACACCCCTGGTGCGCGAGGTCATTGAGTAGGAGTTCCCTAACAGTTGTTGTATGCAGGTGGCGATGTGAGAGCATTTGAAGAGGGAAAGTTGACTCTCCACACCCTCGGCGGTACTAGGGATTTTGTCGCATGCTACGGAGTTTCATTATCTTTAAAATCCTAATTAATGAATGGTTATTGACTGGTAGATATTAGTCTTTTAATGTATTCTTTCAGATCAGAATAAAATGTCACATTATTTCAACTTAACAAATATTGTCTATAAATATTGTCAAATAATTGAATTTTTCCATACAACTGATTTTATAATGAAATAATCATGTTATTTACAATAACAGCAAAAATAACTCGCCCCCCCCCAAAAAAAAACTATCTAATCTTCTTTGATTTGATTTCCCCCACTCATGTCTTAATTTTGTTATCTCTTATAATATATGTTTATTTATTCCGTTCCTTTCTTTCTTTCTTTCTTTCTTTCTTTCTTTCTTTTTATCTTTCTTTCTTTTTATCTTTCTTTCATGTTATTGGAACACAAAAACACATTTGATTTAGGCGCCTCTATTGATAATAGTACATAAAATACAATTGTCTGACCATTACTCATTAATCCTTTATGTTTTACAGTTATAATACATTTGTATTCATACCTATATATATATCGTGAATTATAATGCATATCACAATATATATGGCTGAAAATGAATTCAATCTAATATCATTTCCCTGCCTTTTTCGGTCAGAACAGAGTAGAACAAAACAAACATACACACACATATATATATATACAGATGTATAATGAATGAACTAGACAAATCTTTCACAAAATATAAATTTATCCAGTATTGCAGAAACGGAAGCAAACTTTTACATTTCAGATCACTTAAGTATTTTTTTTTCATGAACCCTTTTAAGCATATAAGCAAAAAGATATTAGAGACAATGAAAACAATGAATCATTCTTTCTTTGCTATATGGTATACAGTGTTCATGTTAAACCTTTCCCTTATTATCTTTACAGAATAGGAAAATATCTATAGTCACGTGTCTAAGAGAATAATATTTATCCCTATTTTTTATTTTGTTTTACAATTGTGTTTATATCTTATTCATGTCCTATGTATGATCTGACAATACTGAGTTCAATTTATCAACCTTTTATTGTGATTTAGTTTATTCTACTGCTTATTGTGTCTCCACCCTACACCTTCTTTTTTTGTCTTCTTTCATTTCATCCATTTCATTTCCATTTGACTGGAATCTACAAAGAATTATACACATTTGGGGAACTTTCTATTTTGATAACATTAGAATTAAAGTTCAATAATAATAATAATATGATCGGTCTTATTTTTCTGTATAAACATACATGATTTGATAAACATTTGATAAGATAGAAAAGAAAAATAACTAGTCTACCATTAAAAATTTCTTTAAATTATGCCAAATCTGTCAAGTTATATTGAAAATTCGATGATATTCAAACTATAGATCGTATTTAAACCAAATAATAAATCCTTACTAAATCGATTTCAATGACAATAAGATAGTTCTATAGAACAAAGAATCTAGTACATTAGTTCCTCGAGATGGTGGAGAAGATTTGTAGCTCAGGTGGATGATTTTGGTGGAGCTGGACCAAACTATCCAGCTCAGAGAACAAACTCCACCAAAAACATTAGTTCCTTTTTGGCATCATACAAATTATAATAAATTATGCTACTATTATGATAAATCTACTGGTTCTCTTATTCAGATATATTAAAAGATTGAAGCTGTTTCATTAAATCCAAGATAGTATCTAAGTTTTCCTAAATCACTTTCATACAACTGAAATCAATATTCTTTTCGATAGACAAATAGAAAATATCAGAAGGAGTTTTGTGGATATTATAGTAATTTTAATGGGTGAGATAATGAGTTAATTGAAGCTAGATCATCATGGAAAACCTGAAAGAATTGAATGGCCATTTCATCCTATTATGAGACTCCTCAACAGTGCGTATACGGTATCCCATACTAAAGGAATTTGAACCTATAATTTTTTGTCTGGTGCGCGAACACACCTCTAGACCACTGAGGTGGCCGGAATCCAATGACGTTAATGTCTAACTTAAACTAATCCACAATCATGATCTCATCTATTAAAATTACAAAATAGAGAAGGAAACTACTATTACTGTCATCAGCTTTATTCAATATTATATTTTTTTGTACAATATAGAATTCTCAGCGCAAATATTTCAACAAGTTTCCGTTTCTTTCTTCTTGGCCGGTCCTAGCGATAGATATCGAGTGATCGCCAGTTGGATGTTAGCAGTTCAGTAAATGAACATCTGAATAATGTGCATCCTTTCCGTTGTATATTGTCAGCAACCACATTGTCTCTTATTGAGTTTTTTGTACCATTGACAACGAAAGGTTGTACACTTTTCAGAAACGCAGCAGAATAGGTTATGCGATTAATAAACATAATGATATATTAAAACGAACAACTTGTTGAAGTATCTAGATGGCAGGAACAGGTAGCTCAGATGCTCAAGCAGGCCGCCCTTATTATGAAAGAACTCAAATTCATTTCACTATTTACTATTCGAATTACTTTAAAAAAACACATTAATTTTCCCCTTGAATTAAAAGTACTCGCACACATGCATACAAAGAAAAAAAAGAGAACTGATAAACTTTGTAAATAGAACAAAAATCAAAAGAGAAAGAAAGGAAGAAAAAATACGAAAAGGAAATTATCAGAAGGGGTTTTGTGGAGATCTTAGTAGTTTCAATGGTTGAAATCATAAGTCAGTTGAAGCTAGACCACCAGTGCGCATCCACGATCCTACCCCTTGAGGGATTCCAATCCAGGACCTATCAGTCACGCGCACGAGCGCATAACCTGTAAACCACTGAACTGGCCGGCATCCAACGATGTTAATGTCTAACTTCAATCAATCCATGAAATTGAGCCACCATCGCCCATTGTCTTCAGTGAGCTGATATCTTACAACAGACCTGGTTGAACTCCACTGGTAACGGCTTCTAGATATCAGCTCACTGAAGACAATGTTGCACCATTTCGTGGATTGGTTGAAGTTAGATAATAACACAGTTGAATCGCGGCTCAGTGCTTCAATGGTTATGCACTCGCACGCGAGACTGATAGGTCTTGGATTCAAAAATAGAAATGGATATAAAATATAAAAAAAAGGAGAACACGTACACATTATTCATGTTTCACACTTGTATATAAATGACCTTCATTTGTATGGCATGTTAAAATTTATGATAATAATTCTATTCTTATTCTAATGAAAGGGAGAAAATAACTTTTTTGTTTGTTTTGTTTTATTGTTGTTGTAATATCAATTCAATCAGTCTAAATTATTTTGACCTTAGATTATTCATAACAAAGAAAGATTTATAGAAAGAATAATATTGAAAAAAAAGAAAGAAAATTGTGATCGTTTAATTAAATAGGTTTTATCAAGTTATATCTTGTTTTCTGATTTTCTATAGAATACTTCAGATCAAATTAAACTGAATTGTTTGTTTTTTTTGCGAGGGGGGGGGGACAGAGTAGGGATGGAGGATGAAATTTTTGTTATAAGTTTACATGGTTAGTTTTATTTTGTGTGTGTTAGAAAGTGAATACATTTTGTTGAATGTTGGCTCAGTGATCTAGAGGTTAAGTATTCACGTGTGCGAGACTGATAGATCCTCTGATTTGAATCTCGTAAGGCGAAATCATGGATGCGGACTGGTGAGAAGTCCCATACTAGGACAAAACAATCGTCTAGTGTTTCCAGGTTTTCTATGATGGTCTAGTTTTAATTGACTCATTAATTCAACTATTAAATTACATTTTGTTTCATTTATAACATTGTTTCTACTTTCTCTTTGACTTAATTTCTAACTAAAAGAGAGATTCACTTGATATTGTTTTACTTGAATCTTCCCATTGATGTTTTTGGACTGAAATTGATCAGTCTCTTATTGGCATATGTGCATACTGTGCGTATGCCTCGATATTGCCTAAATTTACGAGTCCCAAACAGGACGAAACGCGCGTCCTGGATTCCACTGCTAGCCACTATCCATCTTTGCTTATAAAAGAGAGATTGCCTATGAAACTTTTCTATTATAAATGTAGTCAATTCAAGCTAATTACATTTGATCGTAATAATAATAAGGCAGATGTTGATTATTCACATAGAAATGAAACAGAAATTAAGTACAAGTACAATTGACTAGGTTAATTTGTATGTAAATAACCTGGTATACGTCAGTAATTTTAATTGATTAATAAATATTTAATTATTTCATATTGATGTAACTTATTTACTCGTAGTATGTACACGCATCTGAACTGACGAATGAAAGGATTTACAGATCACTAAAATAGTAAACATTTCTAAATTTAGTCTAATGTTGATAATTTCACAGGTTGAAATCATGAGTCAATTGAAGCTAGACCACCATGGAAAAACTGGAAGCACTGGACGGCCGTTTCGTCCTAGTATGGGACTCCTCAGCAGTTCGCATCCACGACCCATTCTGATGATGTTGATAATGACATGACCATTTATTGATTTTTGTCTATACATGTATCCTAGCAAAGTTTATCCACCTAGTTTAGATCAAATGATTATATTTCATAGATTAACAAATCATATTAGAAAAGTATATTTATTTACCAGAAAGACTTACTTACTTACGCCCATTTTTCCTCGTGGAGGAGCATAGGCCGCCCACCAGCACTTTACATCCAACCCTGTCCTGAGTGATCCTTTCCAGTTCTTCACAGTTGTTATTCATCCTTTTCATATCTGCTACTACTTCCAATGTAATGTGTTCTTTTGCCTTCCTCTTTTCCGGTTACCTTCAGGATTCCGAGTTAGGGCTTGCCCGTAGCTCTTTTGGAATTACTGCCGGTCCCAAGCCCGGGTAACTGAGGAGGGTTGGGCATGATGTCAGCAACCCCATTCTGTAGAACAAATTTTGCTAAAAAAACGCCAACCAGGTTAAACAAATTAAACTATTTAAACTCTGCCCTGGGAGTTGAAGGAAGAATTATCATACCTCAGGATGAAAGCCGAGATTCTTCGGAAATCACGAGGCCGACGCCCCTTCTAACAACCAGAAAGACTAGAATAACTTAAGTACTTTTATTATCATTAACATCATCTTTAGGATTAACATCTTGTCTTTAATTCATATTAATTTAAGTTTTAATGTACAACTATATGCCTTCTAAATTATTTGTCAAAGTTGAAACAATCCAAATGTTTTGTACTTTAAATTTGTCTCTTATCTGTTTTCGTTAATGTTATTGTTTTTATTTTGCATGTTACTCTGTAATTTACGTCTACATGCAAACTATGCATTAAGTGAAGAAATCTTGTATTTCGTTGTTGTTGTTGTTGTTGTTGTTGTTGAGACTAGTTCCATCAATATTATACGTGCACCCACACACACACACACTTATGTACACAGACACACACAGACAGACACAAAAGACTCGCACATTTATAAGAACAAATATCAACATTGTTCTTTGGATTCAAGTACACTAGTACGTAAATTCATTTCATAAATGTCTATTTCTTTCTTTCCATTAGTTTAAGAAATTTCATAATCTCTATTATCAAAACAATTCAGACATACAATTTGTATGAAGTGTGTGTATATGTGTGTGCACACGATGGATATTCGTTTAGATTTGTTTATCAGTCAGTCATTGATTATTTCTGCTGCTCGTGTAGAGTATTTATCTCCGTCTAATTCATCGAACTGGACTATTTACTCTTTTTTTTAATCAGTGTCTTGTTTTGTTTATTCATTATCAATTTCTTTTTCGAGTTTAGTGTAGATCCAATTACAAACGCGCATATTTGTGCGTATCTAAGTTCGTGTCTATTCGAATGCTTTTTTGCTTGTGTTAACATGACTGAATGAGCGAACGAACGAATCATTCAATCAGTATATGGTATGTATATCAGAAAATGTCATGTATAAGCAAAATGGCACATGAATAACAAGCAAATAAATGTGTGCTTACGTGTCAATGTATGTTTTCGCTTGTATGTATTGATATTGAACAAACAAGATATAAGTATAAAGGAAGGAACATTCTCAGTTTGCTTCAAGGCTAATAGTAAAACACTGATGACTATATACATATGTACATGTAAATGGATAGATATCTATGGATTCATGTTCTTATCTACCTAACTGATTAATATTATCGTTAACCCTAACAGTAAAATCATTTGATGATATAATATTAATAATAATAACACTATTTCATATGGATTATGATTTAATTCCAGATACATCAGGTGTTTTGATGAATGTGGAAAATTCCCAACATACAGACAGTGCAATACATACTTTAGTTAGTAATAGTAATAATACTACTACTACTATTACTGGTGTGAATACTACAAATGCTGGAAATGACGATGCAGATGTAACAATGTGTATATGTCCAGTTTGTGGTTTCTCTGCATCATCTCCACGTAGACAAGATGAACATATGGAACTAGTACATGGTGATGTAACAGTATCTAATATTTTAACAACCAGTAATTTAACATCAATCACACCACCAACATCAACTATGATAACAATGAATCACGAGAATTCTGACAGTCCTAAATCATCTATAAAATCTATGAAATTAGATTGGCCCTTAGAAATGAATAATTCAACATCTTTTGATTTTTTTCAATCACATCAACCAACAATGAATTTACAACAACAAAATTATCACTCATATAATTCGTTTGCACTACAAGCATCATCTACACCACAACGTGTAAAATTTTGGTCAGCCGAGCCGGAACAAATCAATTCATCATTAACAACAACAAGTGAACAAATGCTTAAAAATCAAAAGTTAGATACTGTATATAGTAAAAATCATAGTAACTGTTGCCTTACTACTACTACTACTACTACCACTACTACTAATACTAATACGAATAATGTGGGAGGGACTATTGATAAATTTAAGATAATTTCCACGAATACTGGTATTAATCCTGGTACTACAAGTACAACTTATACTATTGCGACGATAACAACGACTTGCTCAAACAACTCATCATCATCAACATCACCATCTACAACAGAGTTTCATTCAAAATTCAAAAGTTCAAAAATGACAAACAATAATAATAATGAGATTAAAAAATCTGAGAAATCTCGATCATATTCATCATCATTGAAAAATGGTAAATCTAAGGAGAAACAAAAATGTTTCTCATTATCATCATCATCGACATTATCCTTATCAACATCCTCATCACCATCTTCATTGTTATCCGTAACAACATCTCCATCGTCTATTACAACAATTACAACCACAACAGGAACGGGAACAGCGACTAAAGTAATCACAGTTGGAGATGATGATGACGATCGTCATCATCCAGTTGTGAAGAAAGTCGATTCAAGAAGACGTTATCGGTATGTTATAAAAAGTTCTTTAACCTATATATTTTCGACTAATTCTACTGGATATATGTGCGTTTTGTTGTTTGTATGAGTTATTTCACTTTGTTCAGTCTAAATTTCCTCTTGAACAACAACAGATGCTATCATATTCGTTGTTATTACTAAATAATGTCTAGGACTGAATGATAACACAATGTCCTATTATTTAAACTTGTTAATTGATCACTTCGGTCTCGCGCGCGAATGCTTAACCTCTACACCACTAAGGTGGCCGGCATCCAACGGTCTAACCTTAACCAATCCACGGAATTGAGCCACCATCGACCATTATCTTCAGTGAGTTACTATCTCACATCAGACCCAGTTGAACTCTACTGTTCACGGCTTCTCACTAGAACTCTAGGAAATACCTATTGAATCCGGTCACTTGTGAGCGCATGATGATTATTATCAGAAGAGGGTTTTGTGGAAACTTGAGTAATTTAATAATTGAATTCATGAGTCAACTGGAGCTAGATCACCATGGAAAACCTGGAAAAAGCGGTTCATAGTTAACATCACGAACTAAGATTAGTTAGACAGCTATTCAGAAGCTGTATTAAAATTCTTTACAGTGCGCATCGACAATCGTATTGTAGTTTCTTACCCTTGAAATTCAGGTTTCGTTCCTGAATTGTCTCATACTTACTTTAACTGATTGTAAAACTTAGGTCAATCCACAATACAAACATGATTTAATAGTTATAAATGTTATCTATTTTGTTCAATTCAGTGTTGTACTATTATAAACTATGCAAAATAAGTGATTACATAAGCTTGTTTACATTAATTACTCTATAATTATCAATAAATATTACTGATAATTCACTGTAATTTTAATGAATCATCTACTTTAAAAAAAAGTAATTTAGAATTTTCTTAACATGAATATTGTTATCAGTCAAATGTTAAACAAATTTATTTTTTATCTAAAGTGTCAAATGTGAAAAGTAGTCAGTTGGTTGCTTTTTAATAATTAAATTCATGGGTCGATTGAAGCTAGACCACTATGGAAAACCTGAAAGCACTGAATGGCTGTTTCATCCTAGTATGAGACTCCGCAGAAGTGCGTATTCGGGACTCTGTATTAAAGGAACTCGAACTCAGAACCTTCGGTCTGGCTCGCAAACGCTTAACCTCTACACCACTGAGGTGGCCTGAATCCAACGGTGTTAATGTCTAACTTCAACCAATCCATGAAATTGAGCCGCCATCGACCATTGTCTTCAGTGAGTTACTATCTCACATCAGAACCAGTTGAACTCCACTGTCCACAGCTTCTCACTAGAACTCTAGGAAATATCTTATGAAGCCGGTTTGATTTTTATAATTAAGCGGTTTGCTTAGATTGCATTTTGGAGAATATATAAACTTATAAAATTCGAAATGATTTAGTCTAATTAAGACAATATACTTATCATTGGTGCAAAAAATCAGTAGATAAACTAGGTTTTGCAAATTTTTCAAATCACTTGTATTGTGAACGTATCACATATGGAGATCTATTTGGTAATTATTAGCCTTTTAGTTGGTCATCCATAAGCAAGGTAATGTATAAAACAAATATATTAATTTGAGTTACCACACTGAAGCAATGTGATGAGATGAAATTATCAATGTAGATCCCAGATTAATATATTTAAGTAAATGTATTGATGATAGTGGAGGAGTTCAAGCACAAATAATATGATTAGTGAAGAATGAAAAAAATTCCTGGAATAAAGACTCAAGATCTATAAACAGACAAAAAATGAAGCCATCAGCACCATCCTGAATTATTATAAGTTATGACATTCAACATCTCCAACCTCTGATCATGATGATTATGATGACTGTAATGTGAGAGTCGATAACTACCAATACAACTCAACTCAATAGATAATGTCTTCATGGATGTTTTGATTTGACCTCTCTTAGCTTTCTTGCAACAGATTCATACAAAAGCAAATATCATGGATTTGGGTACTCAGTGGTTGTTCATATATAATATATGTCCCGACCACTTCAGTCACTGGAAATACACTACCTCATCAACCGATATCCTATTCCTATCAAGCATCGTGTGCTTAGTTCAAACATTGTTGATTCTATATCTTTTAAGTAATGATTTCTTTATTATTTATTTATATGAACACATAACTATTGGTACAAAGTGGCACCGAATAGATATGTGTCACACAAGTCACATCATTTGTGTATGGGCTGTAATACTACCCGGGCGCCCAAACCGAACCGGGTGGTTTTCTTAGGGGGCCACTCCCCGAGTCTAATCCACAAGGCAGTGGAACAACGTCAGGAGATACAGTCCCATGGTAACCGATGATCAACGACTGGTTCGTACGCCATTTGTTCCTTCAGGATACTGGAGCCAGCCCATGTGCACCATTGGTTTAGAATGAGGGTTTTCCAACTCCTCTAGGTGGATCCTCCATATCCACCAACCCAGTTAAAACGCCAGATATTCGGTTTCTGAACGCAATCAATAAGATCTCCCTGTCAGTGGTTGTATACGCATGGTTATGAAAGAGCTCACTCTCCCCACCCTCGGCCGTACCAGGGTATCTGTAATCTTGATTTCATTGTTAAAACATTCGATTTCAAACATAAGAATATGAATTCAATGTCTGTTACACTTATTTTAGCTTAACTATCCAATAAGATAATGTACAACATACTTTTTTTCATCCAAACTTTAATATACTAATCATTCATGAATGTCATAATTATTGATCTGTTATGATGAAAGAACTACTTTTGAAAATGTTTGTTTACTCTTTTTACCTTTGTAAACAAATTGAGTTCATATTTTGAAATAATCTCAGAGAAAAAAATACATATCCATAAATAATGTTTATTCAGAATAAAGTTCATATATAAATTTGACCTTTGTTGGCAATATATTTACAAAAACCATTTCTATTGTTAAGCTACACTACTATGGAAAATCTGGAAACATTGGAAACACTGCTGAAGAGTCCCACAATAGGACGAAACAACTGTCCAGTACTTCCAGGCTCTCCATGGTTGATATAGTTTCAATGGATACATGATTTCAACAATTGAAATTACTAAAATCTCCTTAAAACCCCTTCTGATAAAAATCATTTCTATTAGAAATCTCATAATGAATAGAAACAAACAAACACATGAGTAGTTTCAATCTTTAACATTGGTTGTAAGTGTATAACACTTTTGTTAAAGAGACAGTTTCATACTACAAGTGTCTATTAATTACTAGTAATTTTTGTAATTTATTTGAATAAGATACAGTTCCGTCAATGTACACAATCGTCAATGTTTGTTGATTCATCGATAAATCTATATTTCATAAAATTTCTAACTATCGAATTACAATTATCTTACAAACATCATTTCTTTTCATCGATTAATATGGAATTTTCTAGAAGTGCACATCCGCGATGTTGTACCTTTGGATAGAATCTAGGACATTCAGTCTCACACCCGATGTGGGTGAACTCCACAAGCAGTGGAAAATGGTCACATAATGTCATGAATCGACTGAAGTTAGATGATGTACAGTGTTGCATTCCTGTGTTAAGCGTTCGAGACTGAAGTTCTTGAGTCCGCTTCCCGGTTGAAGGAACGTGTATGTTCACTTTTAGAGTGTACAGCACTCGGATGATATAGCTATTCAGTGAATACAAGCCTGTAGTAATGGGGTATTTAAAGTTAGCTAGTGATTTAAACTATGAAAAATGTAGAGTTGAGCTCAGCTGAATAGTTTCAATGTAAGTAAATAAACCGAACAAGCCTCGAGTGATGCTATGCAATCTTTTTTGAATATCAACAGAATTTTGTGGAATATTATAAAGTGATTGTCTATGGAGTAACGAGGTGAGTTGAACTAATGACCTTTTAAGCTTAACGGTGTTAAACCAAGGTTCTTCTTAAACTCCATTTATTTACTAGGGATTTTCTTATATCTGTAATAGCTAAGTTGTTGTGTATCAGATGTTAAATTAAACTTGTATTCTCTTTTTTGCTTGTCTTCTCATCCCACTATACAATTAGATGTAACATTTGTCCAACAACATTTCCATGGCATGGTGATCTAACAGAACACTTACGCTCTGTGCATGGAATGCAAAAATCACGTGAAAATGCACGTAATGGTAAAGCTGGAAGTTTTTGTTGTAGTCATTGTAAATATGTTGCAAAATATCAAAGTGAATTAAATCGTCATATGCGATTACATTGGGGTGTTAAACCATTCATATGTGTTTTTTGTCCATATCGTAGTGCATGGAAAGGTGATTTAAAACGTCACATGGAATCACATCATAGAGAACGTTTTACATGTGAAACAGAATTAATTAAAATTATGTCACAATTTAAAAATAACGCTGGTACAAGAACATCAGCAGCAGCAGCATCAATGACTAGTGGTTATGGACATACTTCCACATTGCCTATTTCACAATTTGATATAACAACAGAAAGTAGTGAAGGTGATAATACAAGTGATCGATACAATTGTTTACATATTGATGAAGAAGAAGAAAATATTATAATTACTACCACTAGTACTACTACTACTACCACTACCACTACTACTACTCATGATAATAATAATAGTAGTAATAATAGTCTTAGTATTGATGTTGAAAATTCAGATGACAGTTCCAATGAAAGTGATGATAAAATGAACTCAATTGTTAAATCATATTCACGTAAACATTCATTAAAAACTAATTACTCACTATTACATAATGAATCAAACAGTATGGATACTATCAATAATATCAATGGTAATAATACTAATAGTAGTATTAATAGTACTGTAAATCTTACTAATACTATGTTAAATAATTATCTACCTCAAATGACAATAGCTGAAAATAGTTTAATCTGTCATATTTGTTCATATCATGCACAAAATCAAAGTAAATTCAAAAATCATATGGCTAGTCATATAAATTTAAAACAATTTAAATGTCCAATCTGTGGACAACGTAGTAATTATAAATGGGATATTACAAAACATTTAAAAAAACAACATCCAAATAGTAATCAATTACCAATAACAATAATCAATAATGATATAGAAACAATTGATGAACAATATATGACTACATCAATTGGATCAATACCAATCTCTTTAACAATGTATTCAACGACAACATCATCATCATCATCATCATCATCATTGCCTATGACTTCATTGATCAATTCACAATCTTGTACTTCACAAATACAATCATGTATATTACCAAGTCAATCATCAATTGTTTCATTGATTCCAATAGCACAACCATTAACAGTATTCTCTCGACCACAGATTACATCCATAACACAATCATCATTAACATCATCAACAACATCACATTTATCATGTTTATCTGGAATTTCACCAAAATCCAATGAAATGATTTCATTAGATATTGAATGTAAAAATTATTCAAAAATTTCAGATCATCAAATGACATCAAATGATCCTTTGAATTTAATTGCATATTCATCTATAAAACAATTATCATTAACAACATCATCATCTTCATCAATAGCAGCATCACCATCTAAGAATTCTTCATTAATACAAAATGATGAAGATGATGATATATTATCAGTGAATGATTCATTACCAATTGATCTATCAATTGGATATCCTCATAAACATGATGATATTAAGGTAAAATTAACTTTTCTATCATAGTAATGTTTTTGTAGTTTTAAGATGAATTGATCTTGTTTGTAGGATTAATAAGAAGTAGACAATATATGACTATTTATTTCAGCATAGTATGGAACTTCTCAGTAGTGTTCGTCCACAACCAGCGATTATTCAGTAGAACTAATGCTTCGGTATCAAATGTTTCAATCTTATTTTCAACCAATTGTTGAAAATTGGACAATCTGATGGTTCTGATTATTGGATGTTTGTTAAGAGACCTGAAGTTCTTAGGGATAGGTGTGCACTTACAAGGCCACTCATTATAAGACGAAACAACTGTTCTACACTCCTTGGTTTTTACTGGTGTTTCGACTGAAATGAATCTGTGACAAGTACATCCTAGTTCGTTTTAAGTATATCTAAGAAGTATCATAAGATTTAACACAAGAGGTGTTGCTCTCAGCCAAATAATTAAATGGTATGCTTGGTGTATGCGTTAATTAACATTCAATGTATGTAAATTTCATTCTTTGAACACAATGAATCTCGTTAAGTGGTGAAAAGATGGTAATATTTACCTTATATTCTAATATTGGTCAATGCAAATCATTAAGGTACTTTTAAGGTAACCAGAAAAAAAGTATCTCAGGTCTCACAAGATGAAAATATCAATATAATCTCTAAGTGAATATTGAGACAATAATAATGTACGCGATTAGTAATTATTTTACTGAAAAGTAGTCTAACATGTGAACATTAGATGTGATTAACGCAACATCACGGAAATATTATGAATTGGTTGAAGCTAGACTTGGAAAATACCGGATCCCAGCTCTACAGTCTTGGGATAAGGCATTCGCTCCTACGGCGGAGTGTCGTGGATACACACCGTAAAATAGTTCCATACTAATGTGAAAGCCCGACCTAATGTTTCCAGGTTTTCAATGATTACTCAAATTAGATAGATTTGTGATCTCAATAAAATTCAACTATCTTTACAACCGTATATTGAAAAGTAAGAAAAATTGAATATTCCACAAACTTATTTAATAAATACAAACACCAGTTGTCAATATGAATCTAACCCTACTCGATTTACTCTATAACGGAATGAAACAAAAAAATAACTATGTATGTTTAAGAGATAAAAAAACACTTCGGAGTAATAGTTCTTTCAACTGAACGATTTCAAATTTGAAAACTTCACATCAATGACATCGGTTTAAGTAGTCTGGTTCTTCATAATAATAAAGAGCCATATAGTTTAAATGTCAGGGTACGGTTGAGAGTAGGGTGAGTCAGCTCTCCCTCTCCAAATGCTCTCACATAACCACGCGTATACAGCCACTGACACGGAAGTCCTACTCACTGCCTTCAAAAACCTGGGGTGTTGTTTACGAAATTGAGAGGAGAAAAGCCGAATGTCCGACACTTTAACCGGGTTAGTGGATACGGAAGATCCACTTAGTGGAGTTGAAAAGCCTTGGTTCCAACCGGTGGTACACACGGGCTCCATGATCCTGAGGTAAATGGTCACTGGTTACCATGTGACTGTACCTCCTGATGTTGCCCCGCTGCCTTATGGATCAGACCTTTAGGTCGAAGGCTCCGGGTGTAGCCTCCTAAGAAAACCGCCTGGTTCGGTCTGGCCACTCGGGCAATATGACAGCCCACACACAAATCATGTGACTTGTGTGGCGCATACATATTCAATGTCCCATTGTACTAATATTTGTGTGTTTAAATTAATAAATCAATAAATACTTGAGTAAAACATGAAATTACATTCTATTTCAATTTCAACACATGGATACTGTATGAAATTAATCGGAAATGACATTTAAATTTAAATTCCCCTGTTCCTGAACATGTTACCCAATAGTCACAATAAAACTTCCATAAATAGCTAGTAGTAATGTTGTTTGATGATGAAAAAAAAATAAAATTATTTGTTTATTCATTGTAAATGTTTATTTCAACTTTCAGGAGCTAATTATAATTATCAGAACAAGTCAGTCATAGTTTATTATTTATTGTTTATTTTATGATGTGTATTTCATCGTTAACTATTGAAATACTAATTCTAATACTAATGATAACCATAATAACGTTATGTATTTACATGCAAAAAAGAGCGTCAGTAACATTAATACTACTGTGTGTGTGTGTCATGAGTACGAGCGTGATACTTATTTGAATGTTGTCTATTTTCATTTCTTGTTGTCATATATTTTACAGTTTTATTGTTATGACAAAAACACTATACCTTTATTTTATTTATCCTCGCACGAATATATATTCTGTTGTTTTGTTAATAACTTTATAGTTATTTTGTATAGTACACGTTTTCATGTGAATATTAACATGGCAATTGTAACACACACACATACACACACACACATGAAGACACTAAATCTCCAGAACTTTCAAGTGATTTTATGTTTGTTTACAAAGTCGATGCATACTGCTTTTTTGAATTCTGATCTGAACTATATTTATTTTTCAATGAATGTGTTTATAGTAGATTCATGATCCAATGTTAAAAAGCAATTCAGATCATTCATAAGAAGTAGGCAAGATTTGAAATAATTTGGAAGTTACTGAGACAATTCTAATCAACATCATAAACTCTTTCTAACTCCTCATTTAATATTCTATAATATTTCAACAATGCCTCGTACCGTTTTCTTAATATTCCTACATTAACTACTAACAAATAACAAGTAGTTTAATTTTTTCATTAGATATTTTACAGACACGTTTGGGTTTTTCACGGGTACAGGTTTATATGTGATACTCGTAATGATATCCGATGGCTAAAAAAATCACTTATCTAATGTTTAGATAGCTTAGATGGTTATGTATGCAATATACACTCATATCTTATAGTTGCAAAAGTTATTTGACATGCATGTAATGCTTTATTGAATAAGTAGTAGTATGAAAAACTCACTGACTTAAGCATGAGTATAAACATTTTTTCTTACATAAATGCATGGTATTACATTATATTGATTTCGTTAATGAACTAATCATGTTTTTCTTTTTATTTCCTTCCTCTTTTCTTTCATTTATATCATCCACCTTCTATACAATCGATGAATATAATAGAACCCTATACTACTTACAAATACACGTCCATCATCATCGGAATTATTGTCAAAAATTTCATTCGGAAACAATCATCATTATGCTTATCCGAATTTTTCTGCAGAGTTAAATAATAGTATTTATTCGGGAACGAAATGTTTTACCACGACGACAACAACAACCATTGCATCTCCTAGTATAATTACTTCTAATTCTACTATTACGACTGACAATACATTATCGGATACAAGATTTCATTATCCTATTTTATCTAATTCACAACAGAATATTACGCATAATATTACTAATACTACTACCAGTAATACTAATAATACTTCAATATCACCGTATATAATTGGTTCATTAATTTCTGACCCATTAAAAAATAATGCATCATCAAATCCAACGATTAATTTGCTATTCAATATTCAACAACAGGTTTTAATGACTGGTCTCTTGCAAACATGGCAACAACAACAACAACACAGTCAAAGGTATCACGAATTAAAGCAACAACAACAGTCAGAACAATACAAGAATTTAACTAGGCATTATGATACACATGGAGGAGTAACAACGTATTCTGACAATATTATTAGTATGACATCACCTATTACATCCACAACACCGACAAGTCTTTCGCCTAATAATAATAATAATAATGTAACACAGATTACTAGGACAGTAATTGCTTCGAATACAACATTTAGTGGTACTGCTACGACTAATACTGTCACTAGTACTACAATGGCTACGTCTAATACACCATATCATACAATATTTAGATCAATTGCAAATCACCAATTATCCGGATTATTACCATCATCGATTACAACAACAATTCAATCACAAATGAATGAAAATTTAAATATTGATTTTACTAAACATAATAAATTAAAAAATAATCAATTATCAATGAATTGGGAAAATATAAAATCCACATCAGATTGGTCTATACCATCAAATATTGATTCATTAGAATTATCGAATAATTTACAAAATCAAAATCAATCAAAAAATCAATTACATGTTAATCGATTTTTTACACCAGGTAGAAGAAAAGAATCTCATCGTTTATTAACTAGAAATAATACAGGACGTAAATCTGCACCAGTTACTAGTTTATTTAATTGTCATTTAGATGTGAATAATCCTATTTGTACTGTCACTAATATAAGTAACAACAATAATAATAATAACAATAGTACTACTAATAATAGTAATAATAATAACAAGGAAGAACAATGGAAACGATTTCAATGTTCAGGTTGTGGTCATCGATCCAATTGGAAATGGGACATAAATAAACATATTAAAGTAAGTCTATACATTCATGTGAATAAAGTGATTTATTAAAATTTCAATGGAGAGGAAAAGAGCGAATTTGTTAGTCATACGATAACTATATAGAAACAGTTAGAATTAGATAGATAAACATATAAGAGTGAGTTCAAACAGTGTATTCGGAAGAAATTACATAATGAGCTTAGAATTATATGTGTATGATGATGGTTTATAAATATTAGTTCGATTTCTGAATAGTATTAACTAAATTCTCTTCGATACTTCTGATCAGACGATTGAATGAGATCTACTTCAAATACTATGGTTTTTGAGAATATAAGAAATACAGTTAAAAATATATGCTGAGCTATACAACAGCATTTAAGTGTGCTAAAAAACACATCGATCAAAAAACGTCGAACCAAGAGGATAAAAGTGAGTAATACAAGGATTGAAAGTAATAGGTAAAATGTTCAAATGACTGAATGTGACAAGTACATGTTAAGGCTTAGAAACACAATTTATATTCAAAAATGATAGAAATTAAAATTAGTTACTTTAAATTAATAAGTAATATAACCAATATAACTAAATCAGATTAGGAGGAACTGAAATGCTGCATAGAATTAAAAAGGATTTGTAATGAATTTTTATAAGTTGTAATTAACACACTCGTTTAACCGTCATAGAAAGTGATCCATAAGCAACTCCAACTCATGACCGGCAAAGTTCAGCCATAAATGATGTATTATTTTTTGTTTATTTATTTGAACATAAATATTGGTAAAAAGGGGCACCCAATACGGATGCGGCACATAAATCGTTCGATTTGTGAAGGGCTGAGGTACTTCTTGAGTGCCCAAACAGAAACAGGTGGTTTTATTAGGAAGCAACGCTATGAGTCTCTCATTTCAAGGTCCAATCCACAAGGCAGTGGAATAACGTCAGGAGATACAGTCACATGGTAGTCAGTGACCAACAATTGGTTCATACGCAATTTTTCCTTCAGGATCCTGGAGCCCATGAGCACGATTGGTTTGGAATAAGGGTTTTCCAACTTTCCTATGTTGATCCTCCATATCTACTAACCCAGTTACTGCATTAGTTTTCGTCCTCTCACATTCGTAAACAACACCCCTGGTTTGAGATGGCAGTGAGTAGTACTTCCCTGACAGTGGCTGTATACACGTGATCATGTGAGAATATTTGGAGAGGAAGAGCTGACTCTCTCCACTTTTGGCCGTAACAGGGCATTTAGGGGCAAGAGTCATCATTGTTTACGATGAATGGTCGTTCTGCGTCAAATCAGTACTATTCCCAACGTAACTTGGTATCCCGGTAGATGATATTGAGTGACATGTTGTTATAACTCTGTTTCTTACGGTTAATGACCCAGCTATTCCTATTGCTTAGTATTCTCGGACACCGATTCACTCGACAAGTCCCCAAATCAAAACACGGTTGAACAGGAAAAAGATTATATTCCAAATAGCAAATCAGAAGCCAGTAGGAAGCACAATAGGGGAAAACGTCGGTATATTTATAGTTTTTACATAAGAAGAATCCAGAATATTCTCCAACTATCGACTAGCGCTGATTGGATAAGAATTAGCCAATCAGCGTGCACCAAAGCAATCATGCATTGAGCATGCTTTAGTCTAGTCTATGTCCCGCTAACACCTCCCCTCTGAGCAGATTCGTAGGATCTGGTGCTAGGGTCCAACTGCAACTGAGTGACTGGCTTGTGCTTTCGATTAGTCCATCGTCTAGGCAATGAAGAATTATCACTTTTTCCTTGCACAGAGACTGACATGTCTGTTCCCGGCGTTTTGATTTTTCTTAAAAAAAAGTATGCATAACTTTTAATTCTCCAACATTCTCCTCCTCCTCGAAATAATGTTGGGTCCTTATGGCTCCAAATTATAACTAGTAGGACTTTATTTAAACCATGTTTCTCGTATTGACTGGAGAATCCACTAAAAATGACTAGATGATGATGAACAACCTTTGATCTGAGTTCATTATTTTCAAATTCATTATGAATCTCGTTAGCTGATAACGAGTCATTAAGAAAGTCAACGTCTAACAGAATTAGATTAGATTTTTGGCCATCATTCGACTCAGCTGACATATTTCCCTCATTGTTATAAGAAGGTTCATCAAAATCATATGCATTATTCTGAGAATCAATATCTGGTACACTGTCATTAGAAATGGGATAAGTTGACTCAATATAAAATTCTGTCTTCCGGTGATTTTGAGTAACATCTGGTACTATTTGGTTCATCGTGTTGCTCCAGTTATTTTCTGAATACGAGTCACCATAGCTTTCTCGACTAATAGCACGTGGACCACAATTTTGTTCGAGCTGACGTTTATTTTCGCAGCTAGACAGTACCAGTAGTGTTTCATTTGATTCTGGACTCCGGGCTTCATCTACAGGACCTGGCTCCTGATCATCTGGTATTGTCACAACTTCATGTGCATTCAGCACAGTATTTTCTTGCTGTGAGCCGGACACGTTACAAATATTACGTTCTGATTCAGGTATAAAGGGATTTGAACCCTCCACTAGATATGCTTCTGAAATGTCTGTTACTGCATCATAAACAGATTTCTTATTTTCTGGTCGAGTGAAAAGTGTGTTCAATAGTTGTTGTTGCAAGGCTAACAACTTCTGCTGGTGCTGTAATATTAACCGCAACTGTTCTAAAGAAATCGCCATTTTTCTTTAGTTTTTCCCCGTCGCCACTGTTATAATTCTATTTTCTTACGGTTAATGACCCAGCTATTCCTATTGCTTAGTATTCTCGGACACCGATTCACTCGACAAGTCCCCAAATCAAAACACGGTTGAACAGGAAAAAGATTATATTCCAAATAGCAAATCAGAAGCCAGTAGGAAGCACAATAGGGGAAAACGTCGGTATATTTATAGTTTTTACATAAGAAGAATCCAGAATATTCTCCAACTATCGACTAGCGCTGATTGGATAAGAATTAGCCAATCAGCGTGCACCAAAGCAATCATGCATTGAGCATGCTTTAGTCTAGTCTATGTCCCGCTAACACATGTACTCGTGGTTAATAACATCCAAGATATAATCACTTTATTTTATATTCATTTTTATTCTCTTTTTGACAGGTTGCACATCCAGAACGTACAAACATTATAACAATTACATTAGATTTAGAAGATGCTAAAAGCACGTATAATGAATATATGAATCGAATGAAATTATCACGTAATCGATATTTAACTGAAACACATTCAGATATATCAACAAATTCCAATCCATGGATAACTTGTGTTGGATTGACTGGAACTACAAGTACTAGTACTACTACTGCTACTACCACGATTACAACAACTACTGGTGAAGGTTATTACAGACCATTTAAATGTTCTGTTTGTGGTCATAGGTGAGATAGTTTCCTTTTGATTTTTTTTTTAAAAAACCAATGATTTAATTAATTAATTTATTCATTTAGTATACACACTAACTAATCTTTACCAAAGAGTTGGCTGTATAACTTGACAACAACTCAATTGATAGTTATATATGAAGACATAATGAATTGAAGAGATTAGTTATTCAGAAATATAATTCAAGAGATTCAATGAAAACTAAAAGGATGATATAAAACCGCCTATCAACTGTTTATGTTGATAAAATTATCGAATGTGTACAGAGTTATTTATTTTTTATTGATCACCTATTCCACGTTCAATGATTACTGATAAATTGAATTTGAGAAAATTTTGTATGTAGTCATGAAACATTCAAGTAGTTTCTGAAACGGTGGGGAGGGTAAAGGCTGATTTATCACAAAATTTGAAAATTAAAGATTTTAAAGTTTCAATTTGTTTATGTAACATGTTTTTTCCCCTGTTTATTATTATTTATACAGAAGTAATTGGAAATGGGATGTCGGTAAACATATAAAACAAATTCACAATGGAAACGGAGAAGTACAGACATTAAGTTTAGAAGAAGCTAGACGAACTATACATCAATATAAAAATCGAAGACGTCAGCATCATCATCATCATCAAAATCGTCTTAGTGATTTAACAATTAAATGTGAACCAAGCTTTTGTAGTTCATCTGAATCAAATATTAATCTATCACCTATATCCTTATCCGTTGGTGAAGGTATTGTCGATTTGCCTGTTTCATCAACCTCTTCCTCTTCTTCCTCCTCCTCGTCATCCTCATCATCTTCTTCAACATCGAAACAAATTTTGCATAAAAATGATGAAGAAGTAAAAATTGATTATGCCATTAATAATCATCATCATCATCATCAAGATAATAAATTTCCTTTATCTTTTGAATGTAGTCCGCTTAATTTAACTACTAATAATTCAAACCTAATAAAAATGACAAAATCATTAAAATGTCATAGGAATAAATCAAAATCATCTATTCTTCATAGAAACAATCGACTATTCATTAAATTTGGATGTAAATTTTGTTCAATTAAATTAAATTCATGGAAATCTATCATATTTCATGTTTATATGAAACATTGTCAACAATTAACGGTTTCCTTGACAACTTGTATTAATAATAACAATAATAATAGTAATAGTAATGAGTACCCCTTAAAATATTTCCCTGTAAGATTACGATTTATCAATGAATCTACAAATCATAATCAAATTGATTTAAAACCTTTAAAATTTTTAAAACATCATTTTAATAATTTAAATCAACAAATGAATTCTATAAATAAAAATAAATTAAAATATTCAAATGAGGTAAGATGATTTTAGTGTAATATCATATAATTATTATGTAATTATTAGTAATATGATATGTACTACTGATATCAATAAATATAAGTAGTATGTATCATTAATCGAATGTGAAATGTCTGATGGTAAAAGGTTAAGAGGATTAAAGGAATGAGAGCGACAATAAAGATTGATTGGTATGGAAATGAAGGAATAGTCAAATGTTAGACAATTGACTGATATTTTGTAAATCAATTATTTACTGGAACAGCCGAGAGTGGGGAGAGTCCTCTTTCCCTCTCGAAATGCTCTCACATGGCCACGCGTATATAGCCTCTGCCAGGGAAATCCTACTCACTGCCTTCTCGTGGCGCGGAGGACGAAAAGCGAATGTCCGGTGCTTTAACCGGATTCCAAACCAATGGTGAACATGAGCTCCAGTATCCTGAAGGAACAAATGGAGTATGAACCAATCATTGGTCACTCGCTTCCATAGGACTGCATCTCCTTACGAAGCTCCACTGCCTTGTGGATCACATCTCCGGTTTGGGCACCCGGGCAATATCACAGCCCCCACACATATCGAATGAGATTTGTGTGGCGCGTATGTATTTGGTGCCTCCTTGTACCAATATCTATGTTAAAATAAATAAATAAAAACTGTATGATTCACTTGATATTATTTTACTTGGATCTTCCCATTGTTATTTAGGATTACAATTGATCAATCTCTTGGCATATATGTGCATACTGTGAGTATTGTCTCGATATTGTCTTAATTTACATGTATTATAAGCAAAGATGGATAATGGCTAGCGGTGAAATCCAAGTACTGGATTCGAGTTTTAGGTACATCCAGCTGACGAGTCCCAAATAGGACGAAACACGCGTCCTGGATTCCACTGCTTGCCCAATATCCATCTTTATTTACTGTATGGTTTTCAGATTTTATTAAGATGTTTTGAATTTTGTGTTCAAATATGTTAGGTTGTCCCTACTGGTGTACTTATTCACTACAGTAATACTATTGTGACCAATAATAATGTTAAATCTCAAAATAACAGAGATTTATAGTTTAGTTGGTGTCTTTTAGTGTTATTCAGTTCTTTGAGCTGTATAGGGTCTAATTCCACTGAGCTTTTATTGATGTCTATTAAAATTTATACAACAGAAATGCCTACTGTTATCACTTGTGGTCGGTTAATATATCATGTGATAAGCTAACCAATCGTTAATGAGCAACTTAGCATACTTAATAACCTTTTTGCCTTCCTAGCACTGGCTGTTGAGTCCAGAACGCCAATAATAGTTCCCACTATGTGAATCATATATTTCAAACATACTTGGTTTATATACAAGCAAAATCAGACGACATCACGCCATAAAATAAAAAATAAAAATTATACCATATCAAACCAAAAAGTGGCTGTGAACGTGGGAGACTGTAATTAACAAAATGGACATAACTTAAGAACAGTAAATCATATAATAATGATCTATATGTCAAAATGAAGCTTATAATTAGAGGAATGTAAATATACATAATCTAGCTATTGAACAGTCACACAATAGGAATATATGTATTATATTAGTCCATAAATAATTCCTAACGGTTACCAGTCATTTTTTTCTCGTCCGATTATAACATGTACGACCCTAAGAAAGAACACAACAGATTTTATTTACCCTCTAATACACCAAATGACTAGTTTGATAAAAAGTATACCCACTTATATGTCAAAGCAATTGAGTAGTATATTATATTTAACCGAAATAGAGGAAATACCTTCAAAAGTTACCCATAATTTAATAATCTTCGCAAAGACATTACATACTAGTAAGTGCATTTTTGTTGTCGTTGTTGTTGTTGCTAAGTCATTCACATTAATTTCCAAAATACTTTTTTTCTAAAAAAAAAATAATTTTAATTATTTTAGACAATATCTTGTGTTCAATTAGATCAATACAATAATCAATATTCAACCGAAAATAATAATCAATATATAAATCATATAAAAATCAATTCATCATTTCCTATAAATAAATCAATAAAATCGAAATCAATCCCAAATTTTATTGATTATAATTCATTAAAATATAAGAAAATTTTAAGAAAATATCAATATTTTATTGAACGACAATATAAATATCAAATAAATAATAATTCTAATCCATTATTAAATATAACACAATTAAAATCGAATTCTTCTGATTTATTATCAATCATTAAAAATACTAATCATCCTCATCAACATCATCCTCATCAGCAACAACATCATCACCAAGAACATCAGCAACAATATCATCATCATCATCATCATCGACCATTTCGTAATTTAATTAGTTCAAATCAACAAATTAATAATACAAATAAAATTATTATACATAATAATTCATTAATTAATCAATATATTACTGATAATTATCAATCTATCAATAAATCAAATAATAATGGAACAATTTTACAATTAGCTCATTTATTAGATGAAGTATTAAATTTATTTAAAACACAATTAAACATAGAAACAACAAAACATGATGTTGCTGAGAAAGAGGAGAAGGAGAAGGAGAAGGAGAAGGAGGAGGAGGAGGTTAGTGATAGGGGGATTAATAAAAATAATATTGGAAAAATGTTAATAAATCAAGAAAATGAAAAAAATAAACATAATTGGAATAATCATAATGTTATTAATCATTTAACCGATATGATACATGAAACAGTGGAGAAAAATGAAAATTTTACTTATACTAATGAATTAATTAATTCTAGTACAAGTTCTAATGAAGAAAATCATGAATTAATAAATAATAACAATAATAATAATGATAAGTAAGTTTATAATGAATAATTTAATTAATCTTAATTAGATAATTATTAGATGACTTTTTTTGTGGTTGAGATCATGAATTAATTGATGTTAGACCACCGTTGGAAACCTGGAAGCACTGGACGGCCGTTTCGTCCTAGTATGGGACTCCTCAGCAGTGCGCATCCACGATCCCGCACCCCGCGGGATCTCAACCAAAAACTTAACAATCTCCACAACCCCCATACTGATAATTAACATGTGTTCACTAGTGACTAGCTTCGTGAGGGAATTCTCGGAGTTCTAGTGAGAAGTCGTGAGCAGTGGAGCTAATCCGTGTCGGGTAGAGACAGGTATCTACCTCAGTACAATGGAAGGTGCTCGCGCAATTTCGTGGATTGGTTGATGTTAGACAATAACACCATTGGATGCCAGGTCAGTGGTCTAATGGTTAAGTGCTCAGGCGCGAAGCCAGTAGGTCCTGGGGTCGAATCCCGCGGGGTGCGGGATCGTGGATGCGCACTGCTGAGGAGTCCCATACTAGGACGAAACGGCCGTCCAGTGCTTTCAGGTTTCCAACGGTGGTCTAACATCAATTAATTCATGATCTCAGCCAAAAACTTAACAATCTCCACAACCCCCATACTGATATTAGATGACTATTATGTTATAATATGAAACTTCTTAAAATAGAGCATATCTAATGCCCTAGTACGGTTGAGAGTAGGAAGAATCAGTAATCCTTCTCCAAATAATCTCACATGATCACGTGTACACAGCCACTGTTAGGGAATTACTACTCACTGCTTTCTCAAACCAGGGGTGTTGTTTACGAATGTGAGAGGACGAAAACTAACGCAGTAACTGGGTTAGTAGATATGGAGGATCAACATAGGAAAGTTGGAAAACCCTTATTCCAAACCAATCGTGCTCATGGGCTCCAGGATCCTGAAGGAAAAATTGCGTATGAACCAATTGTTGGTCACTGACTACCATGTGACTGTATCTCCTGACGTTATTCCACTGCCTTGTGGATGGACCTTTAGACCGAAGGCTCGAGGTGTGGCCCCATAAGAAATTCACCTGCTTCGGTTTAAGCACCGGAACAGTATCCCAGCCTTCTACACAAATCGAATGATTTATGTTGCGCAAATCTATTTGGTGCCTCCTTGTACTAATGTTTGTGGGTTTAAATAAATAAATAAATAAATAAATAAGAATACATACAATCTTGCGTTTAGGAGTCTAGTCCATAACCTTCGGTTTTATCATCGAGTCCCCATACCCTTTTATCAAAGGTCTATTGATATAGAAGTTTAGCTTTAATCTTTGTATTTTAAGCTATTCTTTGATTATCTATATCTTATTTCAAGCTATGGCAATTCAAATTGTAATGACTAATATGTACTTTTAAAAGAAAATAATAATCATAGATGCTACTAAAAAGTGAGAAATCAGTGTCTTAGAAATTTTTTTTTAATTCACAGAAAGCATAGATATAATAGAACAAGTTTTAAATAGCAACAAATATAACATTTAGACATCGAAAATGAAAATTTTGCTTATTCTATTTAGTCTTTTTTGGAAGCTTTATTTCACTTAACTGGTTTCTAAATGAAAACAAGACTTGAACAGAATATTAATATAATCTTGTCAAAATAACATTTTCAATCCAGATAACAAATTGTCAGTGTATATATTAGATCTAAAGGTCTTATCCATAAGGCAATGCAAAAACGTCAAGAGATGCAGTCTCATGGTAGCCGGTGACCAACAATCGGTTCATACGCTAGACATTCAGTTTTCATCCTCTCAATATCGTAAACAACACCACTGATGCGAGATGTCAGTGAGTAGGACTTCCTTGGTAATGATGGTATGCTCATGACCATGTGAGAGCATTTCGAGAGGGACAACTGACGCTCTCCACTCTCAGCTGTACCACGGCGTTTAAAGGCCTTACCGTGTTACTATTTAGTCTTGTTCTCATGAAAATATATAATCATGTGTTAAAAAATCAAGTAAGAGATTCATTACCTTACATGATTATGGTAACATACTATTACTAAGGAGTTTCAAATTAAGATGAAACAAAATCTAAATCAGTAAAAAGTTGTTTATTGTAATCCGCTTTTAGTTCAACATAAATAAAGTTTCTGAAGAAGCAGCAGTTTATATCGAGTTACGAAACATTAGAAGTACAATTTTTTCTACTCATTAGAAATATCACAAGTAGTATATTAATTGTTAACTTTCTACCTATTGCTTAATGAATTTGACATTCATACTTTCATCTGTTACTTATTGTTATGACCTTGGATGTCTGGACTTTTCGATCACACGATTTATCTACCAATCCGGATACGACTTATACGAATCTTCACACTAGGCCAACCAATGACGTTCAACCGGTGTGGGCAGTTTAGCGTCCTTATTGGTCCTATGTCCTACGAGCCCTTCCACTTGAGTCCAGAACAAGATACCAGCTTCCGAATCAGAGCAGATCGTTTATTTCAGGCATACTTGGTTTATATATCAATCACACAGACCGCAACGTACCATAAAATAGGAAATAATATTTGTACACAAATAAGCCCAAAAAGTGGCTGTGAATGTGGGAGGCAGTAGTTAATAAACTGAACATAACTTAAGAACCGTAAATCGTACAATAATAAATTATAGGCCAAAATAAAGCTTGTCATAAGAGGGATATAAATATACATAATGTAATTGTTGAATAGTTATACAATAAGAATATTTATAGAATATTAGTCCATGAATAGTCCTCGGAAGTTACCTGTAATTTAATCTCCACTCGGATATAACACTTATCTCTTTTTTTTCTTCGTTCTCTCTTTTAGATCAACATATTACAATTCAATAAATAAAATTTTAAAACATCCAGAAATTGAGAAACGATTTCTTCATTTAGCAAATTTGCTACATCAAATATCACATGGAACTCAATGAGATTGTGTATACCATGACGAATGAAAAATAGGTTCAATATAAGTATCCAATTTGAGTGAATACATCAGAAAACAATATCTAGTTAATTTTGTAAATAAATGAAAAACAACATTGAGAAATCTGTTATTATTTTTTCTTTCTTTTATTCATCATATTTCATCATTGTCATCATGATCATTAAGAGAGCTGATTATTGGACATTCTATTTGATCAAAGATTTGTTTTATATTATATTGTTGTCTAGACAATTAAATACATCCACACAAACACACATAAACATACACGCTTGAATCAAGTTTTCCGAATTAAAAGAAAACAATAGAATAAAGACAGCAAATATTGTGATTTCTTTCCTAGACAAAATGATCTAATCACGAGGGTATTTATATGTTCAATCCCTCTCCTTTTTTTTCCTTGTTAATCTTCATTATTCACATGATTTACATGAATTGCCTAAAAATACACATGTGTGCATGTGTGTTGTTAATGCTATAAGACATGTTATAAGACAGTTGAATACTCATACCTCCTCCATCTCCTACAAAAAAAAAATAATGATAAAACCGAATTGTTGTAAACATTCTCTTTTCTTTTTTTTCTCCCCAACTTGTATCCTACATTAATTTTACAATCTATTGATTATTGTTCATCTGATTTTTGGCTTGTTTTCGTTTCGTTTCGTTTTGCTTTGTTTTGTTTTGTTTCGTTTTGTTTTAACTCCAAGGAAATTTTTATTTTGTGTTTTATTACGGAAGAATCAAAATTACTCATTCAGTTACATAATCTTCATTTTGTTTCGTTTAATATTTTCTACTGGTGTTTTTAGTACGATTCAATAAGTGACATATTTTTTTCTCATACTCAAACAGAATAAATGAAATGGTAAAAAAATATATACATTTGTGTTGTTTTATTGTTTATCGAGAAAAAATTGATTCAAACGTTGGTTACTTATAAGTAGTATAAAATATTGAACAAAATTATAGTGGATTTTCATAAAGTGTTTCATTTAATATGTATGAATATTAACGGTTCCATAGATTGTCGTAGTGCTTTGATTGTAGTGAACAGAACACGGGTTGGGAAAACTTGATGAATTTAGCACAAACTTACAGAGTTACTTGGTAAAATAGAAAAACCATATAGCAAATCGTTAATTTGCAAAATATCAATCCATCATAA